TCCTATTTTATGGCATTTTTCAATAATCTGGCACATGAAATTGATCTGATAATGACATGGGTCATTTATTATTTTCTGAATGAACTATTCATGGCCCTGGGGATTAATAAATACTATGTCATACTTTATTCTCACATGAAGGATGTGTATCTTCTCTTCAGAAAAAAAAAAAATCCTCTTTTCCCCCTATATAATTGTTCATTTTTATATTGTTAACTGATTTTCATTTTTCATTTTGCCTTTTGTCTCCATTTTGGAAATCATTTCATAGTAGTAATTTCTAGGCAGTTTTGACAAAAAGGGACAATAGAATAAATCATTATTATATTTCAGAATAAGTGTATTGAATTCCAAGATACACTGAGTGGAGATGGGATCGAAAGGATCCCATGAATCAACAAAATTGATAGAATGACTTCTTTGGAAACTTTAGTATGACTCATTAATCAAGCCCATTGCAAGGTAATTAAGATGAAGCAGCAGGATATGCAAATTGGAAGTGACACTGATTTCTCTTTTCATGTATGGAGAGAAATCTAGCTGTCTGAAAGTTACAACCCTCAAATTTACTTATGGAGTTCTAGAATGGTGCCATTTTGGTTCCTATAACATTTTGTGTAGGAGCCAAAACAAACCATTAAGAAAAGAAGACCAAAACTTCAATTCAGCAATCCAATTTAATGAACATTTATTAATCACCTACTATGTTCAAGGCAGAGTGGCAGCAAGGCATAGTGGATAGAGAGCTAGTCTGGGAGCTGGGAAAACCTGGATTCAAGTCCTGCCCTGATATATACTGACTGTGACCCTGGACAAGTCTCTTAACCTCAAAGTACTCTAGGCTAGTCTGTAAGAATATAAACATATTTTTGGGGGCTAGGCAAGTGACTTGCCCAGGGTCACACAGCTAATAAGTGTTATGTTCCTGAGGTTGGAATTGAGCTCAGGTCTTTCTGACTCCAGGGTGGGTACTGTATCCACTGTGCCACCTAGCTGCCCCCCAAATATAAACATTTTTAAATGAAACTTTTTCCAGTTAAAAAAAATAAATTGTATCTGCCTCTCAACCTTGCCTCCACCCCAATCAGGAAAAACAAAAAAAGAATAAAAACCAAATTCCCTCATTAGAATCTGAGACTCTTAAGACACAAAGAAGATACAACCTCCATTGATAGAGGAAATTTCTGGAGTTCCTTACACAAATAAAATCACCGTATCCAGTCCCTATCCAACAATAAAAATTTTTTTAAATTCTAAAATATTGTTTATTTTGTCTTTATCACATTCTTTTAAAAATTTCTATTTTGTGTACATTTTATAATTTATGTGTTAGTACAGTAGTACATGTATATAATATATAAACAAATGTACATCTATTAGTGGTGTATACTCAGAATTTTTTCCTCCAAAAGAGTTTAGAGACTTTTGTACTCAGGGGAATACTGTGTACACATATAAATAAAAAGATAATCTGAGGAGGGCGAGAGCAGTAACTACCAGGGGGGTCAGGAGAGGATGCCCTTAGAAGATGACAACTAAGCTGAATGGTGAAGGACACTAATGATGCTAAGAGGCTGAGAAGAGGCAGTGTTGGGGTAATGGCCTTAACGAAGGCACACAGGGGAGAGGTGAGATGCCACCTTTGGAAACAGCATCGAGGACAGTTTGTCTGATGCATGGACTAAAATGAAATGTGTGCAATGGGAGGATGGGGCCAGATTGTGAAGGACTCTAAATGCTGAGCTGATGGGTTGGTATTTTGTCTTGAAAGGAAGAAGCTACTGAAGATCACTTAGTGGATGTTATGGAGGAGAAGAAAGTGGTTTTGGAAATATAGTTCAATCTAATTCACTTGTGTGTTCCAAATATAAGTGTATGTGTACCTAGTCATATATATATATATATGTATATGTATATATATGTATATATGTATGTATGTACATGTGTGTACATGTGTAAATATATAAAAATAATCTCCAGTTCACTTTACAATCTGAGATCTACTTGAGTATCTGTGTGTGAAAGTGCAAAATACACAGAACATTAATCCCAGTTGCACTGTCTTTCTGCCGCTTAGCAGAGGCAGTTAGGTGGTGTAGTGGATAGAGCACTGAGCCTGAAGTTAGAACCATTGGAGTTAAAATCTGACCTCAGACACTAACTAACTGTGTGACCCTGTGCAGGTCACTTAACCTCTGCTTCAGTTTCTTCAACTGTAAAATGGAGATAATAGTAATACTTTCCTTCCAGGATTGTTGTGAAGATCCAATGAGATAATATCTGTAAAGTTCTTAGCATAGTACGTAGCACGTAGTAGGAGCTTAATAAATACTTATTCATTTCCCTCATCCCCCTGTATCAGGAGTTCTTAACCTGGGGTCATCTATGAATTAAAAAAAAAATTTGATAACTGTATTTCAATATAATTGGTTTTCTTTTCAATCCTGTGTAATTTATTCAGAGAAGGGACCCATAGTTTTTACCACACTGCCAAAGGGAATTGTGACAAAAAACATTTTTAATATGTTCGTATGCCTCTCTTTGAAGTGTGAGGGCAATATACAGTATTCACATTTCTTCTATACCCCTTCCACTATTTATTGGGAGGCAGTGTGGAGTAGTGGAAAGGGCTCTGGATTTGTAGTCAGAAGAAGCCTGAATTCATATCTTTTCCTTGGTAGCTTACTGGTTGTTTTTTTTTTTTTTTTTTCAGACATTAACTGGTTAAGTACCTGTTGAATATTTTGTAGAGAGAATTTTTGCTTCAAACAAAGGTTGGACCAGGTGATGGCAGAGAGGACCCTTCCAACCCTGATATTCTGTGATTCTTTGACTTGAGAGTATTACCGGGTCAAGTCAACAAGCATTTATTAAGCACTTACTCTGTTATGGGCCCTGTGCTAAGCCTTGGGCATACAAATGTAAACAAAAATAAAGACAGTCACTTCTTTCAAGAACCTTACCTTCTAATGGGTGAGAGAGCATAATAGGGAACTGAAAAAGCAGGTGGTAGGTGATAGTGGCTCAGGGGCAAAGTGCTTAATGGTGATAAAGTCCAGAGGATGAAGAATGGCAGATAGAGGCCTTTCCTCAAAATGTAAGTTGCAGAAAATACTCACCAGAAATGGGGTAGGGAGGCCACTGGCTTAAGAGAAGACCTCTTGAGGCATTGTGGCTGTAATTATAACAAACTATGTAGATGTTTCTAGATATGTGATAAAAGAGACAGTTCAAATGGTGGAAAAGCACAAAGCAAAACAAAAAATACACAATTTCACTTGGATGTAAAATTAGAATGGGTAAGTGATTTGAAGTTGGGTAATAGTGGGAACAATGAGTGGGTAGTGTACAGTAAAACACATCTAGTCTGCCAGTTTTGGGTGCTAAAATGTATTTTTATTTTGTATTTTTTTCTATTTAGTGCAGTATAGTTGTTAATGTTTTAGTATTATTGATACATTATAGAAAACATATCTTTTCCTTTAGTTTTTTTTTTTTTTTTGAGGCAGTAGAGGTTAAGTGACAGCTATTAAGTGTCAAATATCCGAGGCCGGATTTGAACTTAGGTCCTCCAGACTTCAGGGCCAATGCTGTATCCAGCAGCTCTACCTCGCTGCCCCGTTTAACTTTGCTTTTAAAAATCTTGTTTGTTGCAGATTTATATAAGATTTTTTTACTATATTCACGTAACAAAATTTTTCCAGGAGAACATTACCTTCTGATTTTTTATGAAAGCCAAATAGAAAAGAGATTTAATGAGAATTCATTTTACAGCAGTACTGAAAAGTATTTATTCCATTAAACTAGAATACCTGCCAGGTGGTTCTAAAAATGTCTCCCTTCCTTCATAGCAGTCTGTGTAACCCTGTCAGTAGGTGTTAAAGCCACAAAAAATACTAATTTTCACTTTCCAAGTCCCTTAGTAGAAGAGAAACCTTTACACTTCCAGTGAAAGACAAATGAAAAAACCCAAATTCTGTTTATTTAAGGACAGTGGGCTTTGACATCCAGACTTAAATAAGGAAGAAGTTCCAAAAGCAAAGCACTTTCTTCTCCAAAACTTGACCCCTCATTAAAACCATGCTTCAGCTTTGGGTACCATTAACCAGAACACACGGATTGACAGATGGTTCATAAAGTAAGATACTATGGGAGGTCTTGTTATAGTCTGAGGCCTTGGAGATACATCAATATCCATGAAGAAAAATCTCTGGAAAGGCATTGTATCTTGGAACATAGGGATGGCACATTTTATGGGGACAAACATTTATCTGTTGTTCCCAATAGGATATAGAAGCTCTTTGAGGGAGTGGATTTTTTGGCTTTGTGTTCATAGTTAGTTTTAGCACTTTTTTAAATTTTGAATCTAGTCTTGTGATTCCATTCTTTTCACATGGAGACTTCCCTGGTCTAGAAACTTCCTCTACTAATACAGATCAGCAACTCATCTATAACTTGAAGCCTTAGTTACCTGAAGCACTGAGAAGTTAAGCCACTTGCCTAGGGTCACATAGCTGGTATATGTCATTATTCCTGATGCAAAGGCTGGCCCTTTCTGTACTATAATTGTTTACCCATTAATAGGAAATATGGACTGAGATTAGGCCATTTGGAGACAGGTTAATTTTATCTTACTGAGTTTAATAAATTAAAGTTTGTTTAATTGAATTGAATTGCTATCGCACATCTACTTTGTTTTACTTTTCTTTTCCTTTTGGTTACAAAACTCAGGTTTTACCTCATGAATTAGTCTCCTCGAGGGCAGAGACTACTTCATCTTTGTCTCTGTAAGCACATTGCCTGGCACACAGTAAGCACTTAATAAATTCTTATTGATTAATTTATCATTTTTTCACCAAGGCAATATTTCCTGCCATGAAAAGTTGCTGCCAGTGTCACAGAGCAAAAATGGTGGGTTGGAGATGGAAAAGGATTATTTTGCATTTCAATAGAATATAACAAATCATGGTTTTCTGTGTTTGCTTTCTTTTCACATCTAGGCAGAGCCCTAAGAGTGGAAAGAAAATGAAGAAGGCCGAAGCACATTTGGAAGAGCAAGCGTGGTGTTCAGCAACAGCCGCTTACCTAATGGATCACTGTGATAAAAGCCATGTGCATCATCAGCACTTTGCTTGCCACTGAAGAAGTGCTTTCCAAAGATGTGGGACCACTGGGCATTGCAAAAATCTATAAAACAAATTGGCCATATGGTGGATTGTTCCTTATTTTCTGATTTACCTACCTTTGATGAGATGTCTTGAGGGAGTCTTTTACTGGTTACTGATAGTCTTCCTTCATAGTTTCAAAGATAAGTGGGTGGCAGTCACCAGATGATAAATGTAGCATCCCTATGATATTACAGTGTATGCCCACGTTAGTTAGACATGCTTTTCTTTAAGCTAATGCTGCCCAGATCATGTTCTTGAAATTAGTTTATTAGGACATTTGCCTCTCTTGAGCCAGGAAGGGGGGAAAATGATGCTTAAAACAATCAGGGTGATGAAGAAAAATGGCTCATAACTAGGAATGGTGATATTTCTACTATTTGTAAATACCATATAGATATAATAGCCTGCTTACTGTAATAGTAGCTCTTGAAACTATAAAAAATGATTCTAAGTTCATTGTCACAGTGAAACATACAAATGATTTGAATTGAGGAAAATCTTGCTGGAGTACTGAAAACTCTAATGCTATTTTAGAAAGTATTAGAGTTTTTTTTTCTCTTCAGAGAACTTTTCCACTTAAATGCCATGAGATGCTTGACACAAATGTTTTAAATTGTGAAGGCCATGCACTAATTTAATCAGAACTTTATAAGAAAGTGTTTAACTTACATCTGAAAGTTTTGTGACTACAGAGATGTATTGCATATATATGTGTGTGTATATATATATTTATATATACACATGCAGATCTATACGTATATACCCCCACATATATTTTTAGTATACCCCTCCCCAGTAGCTACTTGTCTCTTGTAAAGGGATTATATTTTTTTGAAAAGGGAACTCTTGGTTAGATATATTTTGTGTAGCCATTGATGAGTCATATTAAATGATACTAATACCTCTACATAAGTGAATATTTCTTTCTATGTAACCTTTCCTCTAACCCTACTTCTCCTGGGCCCTACTCTAACCTTAACCTATTTTAAAATTTAAGCATTTCAACTTAATGCAGATAAATAAAGTTTTCCTACTAATCCTGACCTCAAGGATAAGTTTGTAGACTATGCATTTACAAGAGAATTGCTTTATGGCATGCAATATCCTTTCACTCCCACTTGGAACAGCTGCTCATAAACTTTATAAAGTGGTCCTCCTATTTGGGCAGGTATGCTTTTCTACGCCTTAGCATTCGTGGTGTAAACAACTTGTATTTGTATGGTATGTGATAGCTAAATATGGGACTTCCTTGCATGGGGCATGTTCTTTGCGTAGGGCATCTTCTCTGAGCACCCTGGAGAAACAATGTGCGTACAGATACACACACACGCAGGACTATGTGAACTATTAGATCTACTCCCAGAGAACTGACACAGTTGGGACTGTGAGCAGGAAGTTTATACAAAATTGAAAGAGCAGCAGAAATACAACCAAGTCTGTTTCAAAAGTCCCTGTGTGATTTATTCAGTGGGAAGCATTTCACAGAACTTGGTAAAGACTAAAACTAGACTTTCAGACCAGATATTTGTAGTCCGGCACTTTAACCAAAAAAAGAAAAAAAAATTCACTATTCATTTCTATTTCATAAAAACTAGAGACTTGATCCAGGATCTATCCAAATAAAAAGGTTAGCCAGGAAGCTTGCGTGTGATTGGTTGGTTGGCAATGAGTAGGGTGAAGGTCAAATCCTATTACTGTGAATTCCAAGGGCTTATCCTGAAACTTTGTCTAATTAAGTATTGGTTGAGTATATGAGGCCTATACTGCAATTTTAAAACTTTTTGAAGATATTTTTATTCAATGTAATGGGATTTAATCCATACTTCCATTTCATTAAACCTTGCAAACAACAACAACAAAGGTGAGGTTAAAGGACAAGGGTGAGATTGGGTTCTTGGAGCTTTGTGACCAATGGCATGTGTCCTGGAAAAAAACAGTGTCCCAGATTAGATGTTTCCCCTATGAATTCTTAATTTCCCATAGTAAATCTGGCATGTTCATACTAAATGAGTGTTTTTCTGAATTCATTTGACATGCCATATCCATCATTTGCTTTATTAATTAAATAGTAAAAGAAGATAGATCAGACAGTGCATTAGTTCCAGTGAATAATTGATTTTTGGAAGTACATGATCTATATTAGGACCATTGAGGCATGACCTTACTGTTTTAGGGTACTGCAAGTTACCTCAACATTGTGTCTGTGCAATAGCTATTTAATATATAGGCTAGGAGCAACCAAACCACCCAGTGACATTCTCATCATGACCTTCTTTCTCTCACTTTCAATTAAATTCAAGACTTTTTTAAAAAGCACCTACTATGCTCTAAATGGGAGGGGCAATAAAATGAAAAATAGCATGGTCCCTGCCCTCAAAGAGTTTATAGTCCAACACAAGAATAAAATACATTTATGAATATTTATGTCACAAGGTAGCATTTGATAAGGGCAGAAGTGGGGTAAGCTAGAGAAAGTACTTTAAGAAATATGAGGAATAAACGATCATGCTCTATTGAAGAAGTCAATGAAGTCTTCATCTAAGAAGGGGCACTTGAGCTGGTCCTTGAAGAAAGAGAAATATTTTAACAGACACAACTTTGATATGGATGAAACACTTTAATTATCATGAGATTGTGGTGGCCAATGTCTTTAAAAACAAGGTTGGGGAGGAATTATGATTATGGGAACTGCAGTTAACAAATTTCAAATGTTAGGACAGTCATTAAAGGAAAACTCAAATGAGTTCCTGTTAGAAACAATTTTAGGGCAAAAGAGGGTTGACAGAGAAAAATCAAATTCTATGACTTTTACTCGGGTGCCCTAGAGTCTTCTGTTGCTGACACAATATTAAACAGAATGTTTAGTTAAGGAAATTTTTGTTTTTTCAGGTTTTAAGTGTTATATCAGATATCAAAACAGACAAGAAGAATTATCTTTGACTGCAAAACAGAGTTCAGATTTTTTTAAATAAAAAATTCTAATTTGGCATCCATAGTTTGACATTTTCTTTATAATGATTTAAAAGTATAGCAAGGTAAACTGACTATATACTCCCTTTATAGAAAACAGCAGGCCCTGTTTTTACTTCTCTTTACAAGTGTTTTTCGTTTTACTCTCGCTCTCCATACTGCTTTGTAGCCCCTATTGCTGCTTTTGTCTTTAGCTTTGTTTGTCTGCTCATAAAATAAGTCGCATACTTGGTGGTAAATCTAGCAGCAAAAGAATGCATGTGAGCTGCTTTAAAACATACATTGAAATAGGGAGTGTCCCCCTACCGACAATTTCCCCCACCTACACCTCTTTTGTACAGTTTTCTGTGTAAAGCCAAACTTCCACTTAGGTATAGTTGTCTGCCGTATTTCAACTAGCCACATGCGTTTAGCTTAAATGCTAAAGACTCAGTAATATAAACAGTGTAATGAAAGGAGAAGTTAGTGAATAGGACCCTGGGAAAAAAGTTTGACTTATCTCAGAAAAACATCAATCAATACTGCACAAAGCAGCAGTAATTGTATCAGCCTCTCTGTTTTTAGATCAGTGATTCCTTGGCTGCCTGAGCACACAGATGCTGTGTAGTTGGTGAATATTTTCCTCCTGTTAAGATAGCAATATCAGTTAGTGGATAAAATTCTGGGCTTAGAGTTGGAAGATGGGTTCATATCCTTGGCTTGACACTAGCTAAGTGAGAATGAGCACATTACTAATCTATATGTTCCTAATGCAACTCCTAGGACTCTCTGCTAAGTAAATGATATATGAGTCATTGGGGTTTTGATCTGCAGAAGCTGAGGGAGCTCCTGCACTCAGAACTTTCCTAAACTGATGAAATCACACGTCCTTCACATATCCAAGTAGCAGAGACCGAGGGAAATCTTAACTTGTATGAGAAATGCAGTACCTTTTGTTCAACATGTTACTTTAAGAATAGCAATGCCTGAAATTCATCCCATCACTCAATTATAGCCACTGATATTAGTCAGTTATATTCCCTCATTGCATTGTGGTGTCATGCAAACAGCTCCATTTAACCTTGGGCAAAACCTGTGTCTCAGTTTCCTCATTTGTAAAATGAGATTGGACTGGGTGACATTTAAAGATCCCTTCCAGCTGTGTGTGAACTTAGGATCTTATCAATCAGCAAGTAAATGTATTAAAGCAGCTTTGGAGGCACAGTGGCAGAATGGTGACTTGAAGTCAGAAAGACTAGAGTTTGAATCCTACCTTAGCTGTATGTCTTACTAGCAATATGCAAATCTGCCTCACTTTTCTCATCTGTAAAATGATGATAATAGCACCTACCACCTCACAGAGTGCTCGTGAGGCTCAAATGAGTTAGCATGTAAACTGTCCAACCTTAAGGTGCCATATAAATACTAGCTTAAATGCTAGTTATTTTATGTTAGGTGCTAGAGATAACAAAGACAAAAAATGAAACAATCTCAAGGACCATGCATTCTATTGGGAATGAATCTTGGTAGAGGAGGGAGAAGGAGTTTAGGGCAGTCTTAAGACTTGTCATGTCTTCACTACCTCCAAATCACAGACAGGGGAAGAAACTAACCAAAAGGCTACTGTTTTGGGAGAACTATCTCTCTATTCAATTTGTGTGATAGGTAACTACTACCAAAAAAATCTTTATCACAATGCAGAAATTACAGAGGTAAAAACCTAGACTTCATTATGCTTAAGCATAGTGTCAGGATTCAGAAAAATAACACTGAACAGAGAATGGAGTTTCTGACAAAGACTTTATAGAGAAAAACTACATCAGAGAGACAGGAATAGTTTTTTGTTTTTTTTTTTTAAACATACAACAATCTTTATGGCCTTTTAAGGCCATAAAGGTCACACAGACCTAGTCAAATGTTCATTATCTCATGCTTCCTTCAATTAAAGTTGAACAAACTAAGAACAAGTTAGTAAAAAGACTAAGTTACAGATTTAAATACTGAGTTTATGAAATCCCACACTTGCAAAACTATAAGGCTACATTCTAAAGAAGTCACAGTAGGCTAATTGAAGGGGAGAGATTTACATGGGGAAGAGATTTCCATGTCACAAAGATAAGCAAAGGTTCAACATCAGGGAAATTATTCCACGATTTAAGTTAGCTAAATCACTTTGGCAGGGTTTAAAATTTTTTGTAAATGCTGTATTCCCTCTTCTCTTGGTCTCTTATCTCAGGAATGTAAGAAGTCTTCACTTAATACTATCATTCCATGAGTCAGTTTTTAGCCTGATGGGGTTAATATGAACAGGAAACATTTCAGTTAGCCAAATGTTCCAGGAGGAATGGCATAATAAAATTGAATAAAAGGAAGTAAATTCTCATATTACTAATGATACAAGAAGACACCAAAACCACTAAGACAAATGTGATCAATACCATGGCCTAGTTTTTCCAAGTGAAATTAGACTATAAAATCCAGGCCAAGGGGAAATAGTTTATTATTTTTGTTGCTACTCTGAAATGAAGAATTGAGCATTTATTTTCTAATTACAAGTCAAAAGAATAACATTTCTAGGAGAAAAATTCTGTTAAGATGACTTCCACAGGTATGTCAAGGAAATTAATTTCTTTTTAAAAAATAAAAGTTATGTTTCAATATGATAAGGATCCTGATATGTTGGTATAGGAACTCTTTTCCTCAACTCAGACTCTAATTGGTCTATAGTTTAAGTTTTAGAGTGATGCCCATAGCTCATTGAAAGTAAAAAACTTGGGTTCATAGGGCTAGTAAATTTCCGAGGTAGAATTTCAACACTGGTCTTCTTGACTCCAAGCCCAGTGCTCTATCTGCAGTCATACTGCCTCTCTAACAATTTATATTATTTGCAAATGATGTTAATTTTCAGTCCTCTAAGTGCAAATAAAGGTGCTTAGGAAGTTGTCAGTGTATCTGAAAGACAGAATAGGGCCTTTGCTCATGCTTTCATATCTTCATTAGAAATCCAAGCCATTAGAATTACAAATTGATTTGCTGCTATTGAATTTCAGTGAAAGAAAATCTTTGTATGAACTAGAAGTGTGTGTCTGTGCACCTTTGCTACATGCCCACATGCATGCTGGGCATGTAACAGCAAGAAGATTCACAAGTAGGCAAAATATATTTCTTCTACGTTAAAAAACCATGAAGGAGGTTATTTGCTTA